CTAAAAATGGGGTTATATATAGCTTACATTGTACTTGCACTGTATGCCAGTGGCCGAACCGTGGTCTATCACAACTGGAGCCCTTCCGTAAGATCACACACACCCCTCCGCCATTATAATATCTGTCTTTTCACTGAATTGTCGTCTTGAAAAGGGTAGCTCACACAATTCCGCCACAAACTTCATCCTTCACCTTGTTGCACTTTGTCATTTTAACGTTAAAAAACAATAAACACGGCATGAATTGCTTCGTGCCAATTTCATCTAAGATCTCTGATCTCTCTCTCGAGCCAGGTTAACTAGCGGGCCTCTTCTAGAGTAGCCCTAGGAACCGAGGGAAACTCTGAAAGAATAACGCCCCATTGGCTACAAATCAATATATGATTGGTTGATCAAACTGTCAGTCCAAACGTACGCTCTCATTCAGTATAAGGGCCAGGGAATTCTATCAAGGATGTAGAATACCTTGGTTGAAGGATATTCTACCCAGAGACCCAGAACAAGATCTGATTGGTTGCTTTTTTTTCTAACACAAAACCACTGAAATGCGTAGTGCATGGTCCGAGAAAGACAAACAAATCAACGTAACACTGTAATATTACAGATCAACAACACAGATACGATTCTCATTTAGTCATTTTATATACATTTTATTTATATAATTAAATCTATTTTTTGTTTGTTTTATCTGAGTGTTCCAGGGTATTCTCTGAATACCTTGAAGGCCCTGACGGTTCGCCACTGCTGTATACATATAAAACCAAACTGTGGCTCCATTCTATATTTAAAAACATTGATATTTAATGATAATATACACCCTTCAGGTTTGTTAAATAGGATTTGTCTCTGTTTCTGTGCAGTTTTTGCTTAAAGGGGGAGACTCTGGATGGGAAATCCTCAGCTGTTATCGACTACACACCTTACCTGAAGTTCACTCAGAGGTGAGATTGATCCAGTAACTCCAGCTTATGCATCACATTGTGTGCACTTTTGCGTAACTGTTGCCTCTGTGCTGTGTAGCTACGACTACCTGAGTGATGAGGACGACCGTCACAGTGTGGACAGCAGCAACAGTGAGGAGAGCGTCCCCGAACATCCCTACATCCCTCTGGTGACCGACGAGGAGAGCTGGAGCAACAAGTGCCGCAAGATGGAGCAGAGGTTTAAAATCGTCTATGCCCAGAAGGTGAGAAACAACAGCTGTTAAAACCAAATGAATGCTGTTTATAGTTATTTTCCACTGTGTGCTTCTACACACACAAACTCGTCTCCTTATTTTCATGTTGCAGGGTTACCTGGAGGAGCTGGTGCGCCTGCGGGAGTCTCAGCTGAAGAATGTGGAGACGGAGAACAAGCACCTGAGAGCCAACGTGGAGGAGCTGACGGTGCAGAGCCAGCAGGAGAAGAAGGAGCTGGAGGCGGTTGTGCTGGAGCTGCAGGCACAACTGTGGGAAACACACAAAATTCGACTACATTTACCTAAATAACAAGCTCCAAATATAAAAATGTGCTCCAGATCACATCACTGTTTGGATTACATTCAGTTGTTATTTTTATGCAAAAATGTTCCTCAATAGAAAATGTGTAATAACACTAGTGACCTACTTAATGATACAACTCATTCTTCTATAAGGAAGATGAAAAGAAACTGAAAGTTAACGCTGATCAGATTTTTGATTATGCTGGTTAATGATGCAATACTTCACATGTTTTACATCTGATTTCAAGTTGCAGTCCTTGATAAAAGGAAAGAAGTTGGTCTGTTTGTAGATAAAGGATATGTAAGGTGCTCTGGGAAACTGTGAAAAAACAGGCCTTAGCTATTCTTTTGTGTGTTTTTCTTTTATTTCCACCACCTTTTGACATTGAGATACTATTTGCTTGCTAAACGAAAGCTATTGCTTCTGAACTGAATGATTTGCTCTCTGTGTGTCCTGCAGCACTGCCCTCATGCCCTGTGATACCTCCCATCTGGCTAAAGATCTTTCCATCCCGCTGGTCAACCAGTGGTCCACAATCCCAAACAACCATGGCGATGTCAAGCTCTTCCGCAGGTAAACTGGTGTCAGTTCATTAATCTAAATATATAAGACCCCTATTGGGAAATAACACACATAGCATTCATAAGCAGATGTTTATAGATGCAATCAATGTACAGACCATCAGGTATTTGGGCTGAGATTATGTTTTTGTCCATGTAGGAGGAGTTTCCACAGTTTGGAGCTGCTTTCTGCTGAAATGAGTCTGAACTCTGACTCTCAGAGGAATGATGGGAGACAGAATGGAGATGCTGCTTGGACTTCAGCAGGTAAAATGACCTTTTTACTGCTACTGCTGTACATTCATCATGTAGGCTTCATCTGACAGTTGGAAACAATTTACAAATGTGAGATATTTAGTTTTTAATTGTCTATCTAAAACCGATTTCAGTTGGGTTTGTGTGTATATATAGGTGTGTCTGTGTATGTATTTCTCAAACTACATTACAACTACATTTGACTTACTTACTATGTATTCCAGTATTAAAAACACAGTTGTAGAGTTGCAACATTTCTGCTCAAGTAGGAATATATTTGCACTCCTTCCACAGCTGCATAAAAGCCTTTCAGAGGCAGCCACCCATGCACATGCACATACATCACTGTACAAAGGCAGGCTTGATGGCTGTTCATGGTGTTTCATGTGGGCAGCTTGAGGTATGCACAATCAGAGGCTTAGTTTGATTGTGCATTTTTCTCTGTTTTGTCCCTGTAGGGAAAGACAACAATCCCTCCATGCTGGGTCTGTGTGGCTCTCTGGCCTCTTTACCGAGCTCCAAGTCCCTGGCCAGCCTCAAGTCCAGCGAGTGTTTGGTGAACATCAGCACAGAGCCCAGCCCCGCGCTCACTCCCAGCTAGGAGGTGCAGTCCATCGACCACAGAGATACAACCCCTAGCCTGTCTGCCTGGTGATGCTGCGATGACCATGAACCCGACCAAAATCCTTCTCCAACCCATAATGCACCAAGACCATCAACAGCTCCATGGGAAAGTCATGACACCATCTTTGGATTTTTGTACACATGAGAGTAAAATCACCATGAAGCTAAAAGGATCCATCTCTTTTGGTTCTTTCCCTTCACCTCGCCTTATCCGCTCGACTCCTGTCTCACACTCTCGCAAAACCACTATCTGTAAATCCCGATCATGCAATTTCTCTGCAAACTCCTTTCAGACCCTTTTCCAAAGCTTCAATTAATTTCCTTAATATGTATGC